AAAAAAAAAAAAAAAGTATAGTTCCACCTATTTGACAGATGAGGTCACTAAGCACCACCGGGGAGCATGCTTGGCCGATGAGCTCACCTATTCCTGGTGCCCCTGACGTTTCTACCGGTTTCTTGTCCCAGCAGGTTGGGGGCGCCTGCCCCCCACTAGTCCAAGTGGAGGGGGTCCCTCCGCCCAATGGGCCTGGCCAGGGCCCTACGCCGCCTCAGCGGCGCCCTGGATTCGGGAGACAGCCGGGCGGGCGATGAAGAGGAGGCCGGGCCCGGGTTGTGCCGCAACGGGTGGGTGCCAGCGCGGGTGCAGTCACCGGTGGGCCGGCGCCGCGGTCGCTTCGTCAAGAAGGACGGGCACTGCAATGTGCGCTTCGTGAACCTGGGTGGCCAGGGCGCGCGCTACCTGAGCGACCTGTTCACCACGTGCGTGGACGTGCGCTGGCGCTGGATGTGCCTGCTCTTCTCCTGCTCCTTCCTCGCCTCCTGGCTGCTCTTCGGCCTGGCCTTCTGGCTCATAGCCTCGCTGCACGGCGACCTGGCCGCCCCGCCACCGCCTGCGCCCTGCTTCTCACACGTGGCCAGCTTCCTGGCCGCCTTCCTCTTCGCGCTGGAGACACAGACGTCCATCGGCTACGGCGTGCGCAGCGTCACCGAGGAGTGCCCGGCCGCTGTGGCCGCTGTGGTGCTGCAGTGCATCGCCGGCTGCGTGCTCGACGCCTTCGTCGTGGGTGCTGTCATGGCCAAGATGGCCAAACCCAAGAAGCGCAACGAGACGCTGGTCTTCAGCGAGAACGCTGTCGTGGCGCTGCGCGACCACCGCCTCTGCCTCATGTGGCGCGTCGGCAACCTGCGTCGCAGCCACCTGGTCGAGGCCCACGTGCGTGCCCAGCTGCTGCAGGTGCGGACCTCCCCGAGCCCTGGGGGATTGGGGGAGATGTAGGCCCGAGGGTGAGGGGCATGCGGTCCTGGAGGGGGAGTGGACTACAACTCCCAGCAGCCTCTCAGGTCTGTGGCTTGCGAATGGGTCACTGGGCAGTTGGGGATGTAAACCCAAAAGAGAGGTCTGTGACCAGCTCTTCCTGGAGGCCTGGACTTGGGACATACAGAGCTTCCTGTGGCTTGAGGATGGGCTGCCTGTGGGTAGACCCGAAAGGGCCACACCTGGCCTGTCAAGGCCCTGGGCCGTAATTCCCAGAAGCCTCTGGGTCAAGGGACCTGCCCAAAGATGGGGTGGCCTCAGATGCAGCTTTGCTGGGTGGTGGTGGAGGGCCTGCGTGACCGTTCTATTACTCGGGTGTACAATTCCCACTGGACCCTGTGGCACAGACGGGGGCCTGTGACTTGAGGCTCCCGGGAGAAGCAGGCCCTAGAACGGGTGCAGTTCATCACTGTGGAGCAGTTCTCCAGGCCTCTAGGTGTGGGGTCCTGCAGCATCTGTGGGGGAATTCATTCCCCAACTCAATGGCCCATCGTGTCCCACCAGCCTCCTGCCCTCTGAGAGCAGGGTGGGAGGTGGCAACGAAACGAAACTGCACCTCCCATTGGCCCCTGGGGTAATAGCTCCCTCCCGTGCCCTGAGGAAGGGGCCTTAGTGTTCCTAGAATTGTGGTCAAATTGCTCAAACACCTCCGTTCCCAAGAAACTCTGGGCCAGCAGCTGCCATTGCCCAAGTAAAGTGACTTTAGAACTCTGGGCTGAGGCTGGACTTGGAGAGGATCAGGGGTGGTGGGAGCTGCAACTCCCAGCCGCCTCTGGGGTTCCTCTACTTGGGGCTCCCAGAGACAGTTACAAGAGGAGGATAGGTGCCCACCTCCCACTTCTATCTCCTGCCTGACGCCTTGAGATGCCAGGATTCATGAATCGGAGGGACACTGGCTCTTGCAAAAGTCTGTGGGGCAGTGACTTGGCCTGGGAGGTGGCTATGGAACCAGCGGGTAGGTGGGGGGGAAATACCCACACCCCCACAAAGCTTGCTCACACAGAATGACATGGAAGGGTTTGCAGTTGCCCTGGCAGCTTGGATAGCTCAGGGGAGAGCCCAGGGATAAGCCTGAGGCAGTGGTGGGTACAGAATGTTGGACCTGTGTTGTCCTAACTCTCCCTTCTTGTCATCTGGTTTATCTTTCTCTGGCCACATACTAAAAGCCATTTTTCTCTCCCCTTCCTTCTCCAATTCTCTGCTGGATGTCATTCTTATTTTCCGTTGTCGCTTCGATTTCATCTCTGTCTTGCTGATTTCTGTGTCTGTATGTCAATATCACTCTGTTCTTCTCTCCTCCTTCTCTTCCCCCGCCACACCCCTCTTCCCATTTTCTATCCCCAAACCCTGAGTCTCTTTCCTCTCTCTTCATCTCTGGGTCTCTGTCCCCCCTCCTCCCATCCTGGATCTCTGGCTTCCTCACTGGGTGCCCTCCCCTGCATCTCTCTGGGTTGCCGGCCCCATCTCTGGATCCGTGTTCTCACCCTCTCCTTCACTCCTGTGGTCTTTACCTCCTTCTTTCACTGAATCTCTTCCTCTCTCTCACTCCCTCTGTCTCTGCCTGTCTCTGTGCTCCCTGCTGTCTTTGGCTCCTCGCCTCCCCCTGCAGCCCCGTGTGACCCCAGAGGGTGAGTACATCCCGCTCGACCACCAGGATGTGGATGTGGGCTTTGATGGAGGCACCGATCGTATCTTCCTCGTGTCCCCTATCACCATCGTCCATGAGATCGACTCTGCCAGCCCTCTGTATGAGCTAGGACGTGCCGAGCTGGCCAGGGCTGACTTCGAGCTGGTGGTCATTCTCGAGGGGATGGTTGAGGCCACAGCCATGACCACACAGTGTCGCTCGTCCTACCTCCCTGGTGAACTTCTCTGGGGCCATCGTTTTGAGCCAGTTCTCTTCCAGCGTGGCTCCCAGTATGAGGTCGACTATCGCCACTTCCACCGCACTTACGAGGTCCCAGGGACGCCGGTCTGCAGTGCTAAGGAGCTGGATGAACGGGCAGAGCAGGCTTCCCACAGCCTCAAATCAAGTTTCCCCGGCTCTCTGACTGCATTTTGTTATGAGAATGAACTTGCTCTGAGCTGCTGCCAGGAGGAAGATGAGGATGATGAGGCCGAGGAAGGGAATGGGGCGGAGACAGAAGATGGGGCTGCTAGCCCCCGAGTTCTTACACCAACCCTGGCGCTGACCCTGCCTCTGTGATGCAAACTGATGTAGCCTTCCCCATGTGTGCCCCCTTCCCCAAGGTAGCAAGATGGAGAGATAGGGCTCTCTCCTGGGATGGGGGCAGGTGTTCCTGAAGACCAACAGGCCTGCTGGGTAAATGACTAGGTGGTAAGGTTCTGCCATGTCTGGTGACCCACCATGGACATACTGGACCTTAATTTTAATTTCTCTGCTTCTGTGCTGTCTCCTGAGACCCTTTTATGAGCCTGATCCCTGAGTCTCACCACAGTTCTGGATCACCCAAGAGGAAAAGACTGGTGGTTCTAGATCCCTCTATATGGGGGGATCTGGATTGTTGACCAGGGTGAGAAACCAATGGTATAGACTGCCTCTGGGGAAGCACGTTGGCTGTTCTTGAACAGCATCAGAGATCAAGAGTTTGTAGGTCTGGATTTACCTAAGCTTCAAGGGAGTGTTGCTTCTCAACTCAGCCAACTGAGTAGCAAATCATTTGTTCTAGACCACCTAAGGAGGGAAGGTTATGGAATGCCCCAAGTATGGAAGATCATCTTGATTGACCAAAGACAAAAAAAAAAAAAAAAAAAAAAAGAAAAAGAAAAAGATCTGTGGTTCCAGAAAGCTCATTAGTTGAAATTCTGTGAGTCTAGGTTGACCACAGAGGCAAGCACTGGTGATTCTAGGACAGGTTTGACCTGGAGAGTTGAACTACTCCAGAAACTAAAGAGTAGTGTTTCTAGAATGCACAAAACATTGTGGAGTCTGTGGGTTTAGAAAGACTAAAGTAACAGATTAGGAGTTCTTGATATTAGATAACTCCAACTTCTGGCTGTAGAGCACCCAACCAAGAGAATAAGCAATGCTTTGAAAGGATCCACGGGGTGGGTTTTTTTTAAGTGCCATTCTAGAATGTCCAGAGGGAATCAGGATTCTGTGGCTCTAGACTGATCACAGAGTCAAGGAAGCAGTGGCAATTCTAGATGTCTGAGATTTTGCTGGTTCCAGCTTGGCCAATGGAGTTGAGAATCTCGATGATTCTAGATGACTTCTTGTGGTTCTGTAATGCCAAAAGGAAGGAAGGCTCCAGGCATCCAGAGTTGTCCATTACCAAAGCCTGTAAGTTCTCATCACCTCCAGGTGGACTTCTTAGCAGTGCCAGGAGGTGGACTTGGGACTTGAGAAGCAACAATTCTGGGTTGACCTAGAAGTTGAAGGTTCAGGTGAGGCCCTGTAGGGCACAGGGCTAATTAGTGGACAAGGGAAGGGAGAGGCCCAGGGCTGGTGAGTCTAGAATGCTCTGGAACCCTACACCTAGTGATGTGTGTCTATTTCTTTTTTTCTTTTCTTTCTTTTTTTTTTTTTCTGAGACAGAGTCTTGCTCTGTCACCCAGGCCGGAGTGCAATGGTGTGATCTCAGCTCACTGCAACCTCCGCCTCCCGGCTTCAAGTGATTCTCCTGCCTCAGCCTCCCGAGTCACTGGGATTACAGGCATGAGCCACTATGCCCGGCTACTTTTTGTACCTTTAGTAGAGACGGGGTTTCGCCATGTTGGCCAGGTTGGTCTCAAACTCTCGACCTCAGATGATCCACCCGCCTCAGCCTCCCAAAGAGCTGGAATTACAAGCATGAGCCACCATGCCCAGCCGTGTGTCTGTTTCTTAAAGATGTTATACATATGTATATTATATATATATATAAAATATAAATACAGATATCTATTTTTTTCCCTTGGTCCCTACAACAGGCTTAGAGATGGAGCACTAGCTAATTGGAATGAGGTCCTTTTCAAGGACCCCAGAAGCTTTGCTCTAAATCCCAATACTGCCTCAACTTACTGTGACACTTTGGACTCCTCTTCATGTCAGCTTCCCCATCTGTAAAAATGGGATATTGGAACTTGAAGTTATTTAGGGGCCTTTCCAGCAGGATGAGTCCTCACTTCACCGAGAGTGGGATGGGCATTTGAGTCCTGGGGATTTCCCTTCTCTCCCCAGTGCTGGATCATACGACCTTCCAGGAGAGGCTGGGATATAAGATACTCTTGGAGGCTGGCTCTGAACTCGGGTGTCTGAATCACAGGGCAAGGGTAGGCGTGGGCTGTGGCTAACAGCCAGAGTCACTTCCCTGGCCCAACTTGCGGATCTGGGAAGGAGGAGGTAGCTCTGGACACTAGGGTTCTTCCCATTGTGGGAGAATGACTGTTTTAGGGGGAGACCCATCCCCCAGATTAAAGAACTGGGAGCCCTAGAGGGTGTGTCTGTGAACGTGCTTCTCGGTCCTCGGACCTGGCCCCCTGCCCATGCTGCCATCTACCTAAGTGCCCCGCAGGCTGGGAGCCAGCTGCAGAGGGAGCCAGTGACAGGGAGGACGTGTTCCTACCCTGTATTCTGGACCGAGGGCAGCCACTGTCATTGCCATTCAGCCTTCACAAGTGCTGCATCAACCCAAATGCCCCCATCCAGCTTGTCCATTTCCCTTTATCCCTCGGAATCCCCATGTAATAACCGGATGGGATTAATTAGCTGGCTGCTCTCTCAGCTCAGGGTGTCTGGGGTAGGTAGGGACGGGGGCAATGGAAATGCAAGGTTGGGGAAGGATGTTAAGTTGGAAGTGAAGGGGCAGGGAGGGCCTTTGTTTGGAAGGAGAGTGGGAGAAGGGCAGCCCAGCCTGGGTTTCCACTGGGGAGGGCAGGGCCTGGGCCACTCATAAAGGTCAGTGAGGGGATTAGAAGCCTCCATGTCTAATCCGGCAGCTTAACCAGGTCCTGGCCCCGAATCCGTCCCCACCTGCCCAGCCCAGGGACAGAAAATGAGGACGAGGCCCAGACACCACTTCAGCCCCCATTATGGCTTCGCTCTTTACAGGGGTGCCTGGGTTCCCCATTCCAGCCAAGCCTTTAATCCCATTCCCTTACAAATAATGGGACCTAGAGGCTGGGGAAGGGGAAGGGGCCTCAGAGGAGGGAGGAGTTTAAGAAGGGCAAGGTTGGCCAGGCATGGTGGCTCGCCTATAATCCTAGCATTTTGGGAGGCTGAGGCAGGTGGATCACCTGAGGTCAGGAGTTTGAGACCAGCCTGGCCAACATGGCGAACCCCTGTCTTTACTAAAAATACAAAAATTAGCCGGGCATGGTGGTGGGCGCCCGTAATCCCAGCTACTTGGGAGGCTGAGGCAGGAGAATCGCTTGAACCTTTGGGGGAGGAGGTTGCAGTGGGCTGAGATCACGCCAGTTCACTCCAGGCTGGGCAAAAGAGCAAAATTCAGTCTCAAAAAAAAAAAAAAAAAAAAAAAAAAGAAGGGCCATAGTATGAGAGGACAAGGGGGGACGTGAGGGGAGCCAGGGAGGAAGAAAAGGCTTCTGAGATGGGAGAAGGAATCAGAGAGGTGGGAGGACGCTAAGGAAAGGGGAGTTGTCTTAGCGGGAAGATGCTTGGGGAAGGGAGGAATCTTAGGAGGATGCTAAGCTAAGGGGAGAAGTTTGGAGAAATGAGGGAGGAGTCTGAGCAGCAGAAGGTACCAGGAAGGCTGAGCCTGTGCTTTCACTAAATTTGATCTTCCCCTCTTCCATTCTCCATGACCGATACCAGATAGCATAGCATTTAGAAAAAAGAGTAAATCTTGGCCAGGCGCGAAGGCTCACGCCTGTAATCCCAACACTTTGGGAGGTCAAGGTGGGTGAATCACTTTAGGTCAGGAGTTCGAAACCAGCCTGGCCAACATGGTGAAACCCCGTCTCCATTAAAAATACAAAAATTAGCTGGGCGTGATGGTGCATGCCTGTAATCCCAGCTACTCGGGAGGTTGAGGCAGGAGAATCGCTTGAACCCGGAGGCGGAGGTTGCAGTGAACCGAGATCGCGCAACTGCACTCCAGCTTGGGCGACAGAGCAAGACTCTGTCTCAAAAAAAAAAAAGGAAAAAGAAAAAACGAAGAAGTCTTTCGTTTCACCACTCCACGACTCCGAAGAGGCTGAGGGGGATGGGGAGGGCATAGATGGTCGTAAGGAAAGGGTTTGGAGGTAAGAAGGGGCTGAGAGGGGAAATACACGGAGAAGAAAAGCAAATAAAAAGGAGGCCGAAGGCTGCTCCCGGTTGCATGGCAACCTCTGCAGTCAGAAGCCAGCATGGCCTGCTAGGAGGTGTGGCTTACGGAAACAAGCCAGTTCTAGCCCCGCCTCCTGGCAACAAGATTAACCAAGTACCGCCCCCTAGCAACGGATTATTGGAGGCGGGGTTCGGTTTACCTAGTCTCCAAGTGTCCAGGGCCTTTGAGCAGGCGCAGAGATGTCCGTACCGCGTAGGTCCGCCTCCGCGCAACACCTTGCTGGGGCTTCCCATTGGAGAGCAAGCCTGTCAAGTGCTTTCTGTCGTTTCGGAGGCGGGGCCTGCTGCCCTGCCTGCAGTCCGATTGGCCCCGCGGGCCGTCTACCTCTGGCCGGACATACCCACATCAGCTTTTTGTACGACTGTTGGCCCTGGAAGACGATCCTTTGGTGGCGAGGGCGGGGAGGACTAAAACGCCCACTGTGGATTGGACGGTGTCAAAAAGAGGGGCGGTCCCTACTGAAGGGGCGGTTGGGCGACCAGGGGAGAGTCTTTTCAGCGCTGAGGTCTGGCGCTGAGGAGGCGGCGGTGGCTCCCGGGGCGTTTGAGCGGGCTCACCCGAGCCCGCGGGCCAACGCGGATCCAGGCCCGACCGGCGGGACCGCCCCGGACTCCCCGCGGGCCTTCCTAGCCGCCATGGAGGACGGCGTCTATGGTAGGTTGGGGAGGGGCGGGGTCGGCTGGGAGCTGCTGGAGCGTTTTCTCCTGAACGTTCCGCAGCGAACGTTTCCCCCTGGAGCGCGCAGCCCAGAAGCGTTCGGCCCAGTAGTAGACTTGTCGCGCCGCTTTTGTGGGGCGCTGGACGGGCTTCCTGCGGGGCCCGAAAGCGGGGCGTTCCAGGCCATTGTTTGGGCTGAGCCTGTTTCCGGTGGCGGCGGGAGGGGCGGGATGGAGCGGTGGAGGCGAGGCCGGGGCGGAACCATTCCCGCTGGAGGGGCGGGCAAGCCCAGCGTCTGCCGGGGCCGGGGAGGGGCGCTCGGGTTGCGGGGAGGGGAGAAATCTTGGGGGGCGGGGGCCTTCGATGTCCCGCCCCGTCTTCCCAACTCTCCCGAGCTGTCATCAGCTCCCCCGGCCGTAGTGACTGTTCATGGACCCAGGAGTCCGGATAACCAGGTCCCCAGCTATCTCGCCAGTAATGGAGTCAGAAAACCAAGGCCTCAGTCTCCTTCCAAGTAATGGACCTAGAAGCTCAGGCCCCCAACCCTTTCTTCCCTCACACCTAAGAGCTCAGGCACCTACTCCCCTTCTCCTTCAGACTCTGGAATCCGGGCCCCAAGTCCCCTCCTCCCCGCAGGACTCAAGAGTTTAGAGCCCCGGCCCTTCTCTGCACGGAGGAATCCAGGCCCCCAGCGCAGTCTTCTGTGCAGACATGGAAGGCCCTTATGCATCCTCTCCCAGCTCTGTCCGCCCCCAGATTGCAGGAATTCAGGCTCATGGTCCCCAGCACTGACTTTTAAACCGTGACCCCGACCCCTAGAACCCCCAGACCTGACTCCGGAGGAGCGGATGGAGCTGGAGAACATCCGGCGGCGGAAGCAGGAGCTGCTGGTGGAGATTCAGCGCCTGCGGGAGGAGCTCAGTGAAGCCATGAGCGAGGTGGAGGGGCTGGAGGCCAATGAGGGCAGGTGAGGGCTGGGGCGGGTGACCTGGGGGGCGTGGGGTTGACTGAGGCCAGGAATGCCCAGGCATTGACCCCCCATCCCCCACCCTGCTCTCTGCTCCTGCAGTAAGACCTTGCAGCGGAACCGGAAGATGGCAATGGGCAGGAAGAAGTTCAACATGGACCCCAAGAAGGTGCTTGGGGCCACAGGACTGGGATCCGCTGGGCAAACATCCGAGCAGGGGCTTCTGGCACCTCCAGGTTCCAGAAGCGTGATGGTTCCGGGTCTATTCTAGGTGGACAGACTTGGTCCTAATCCCTGGATTCAGATACTGGCTGTCCATTTGTTCTCTGAACACTGACCAAGTGTTCCAGCCCTCCTGACGCTTATGTTTCGTCCCCTGCCCTGAAGGTTGTCTTCCACTTTCTAGTTGTATGGGCGCACTTCTAGTCCCAAGATGAGCTCGAGTCTTGTAGGGCTGTAGACAAAGTGATATGCACAAAGGAGAGTTGACCTCCCTCCCGCAAAGGTGCCATGACAGAGGCAGGTATCAGGGTAGTAGATTTCTGGAGGAGGCAGGCTGGTGGAGTCAGGGAGGGCTTCCTTGAGGAGGAGACATTCAGGTCGGGTTTGAAGGATGAGTAGGTGTTCACTAGGTGGAGGAATGGCTTTTGTTCACTTACTTTTTTTTTTTT